TGGTAGATAAATAATACAAAAGGTAGGAAAGCTTCTTCACCTTCAGATTCTAACTTACAGGTTAAACCATAGAACTGTGGGCAGATGCTTATGGTTTCATTCACCCATTTAATTATTTAATCATTTATTCACTCAGCAAATTTATTAAGCTCCTTCTGTATATCAGGCACTCTGTAAGGATACTGAAGATACTGTCTTCCATTATTGATGTCTGCCTAAAGGACCCTTGAACCAATGGTTAGCTTGATTGACTATGTATGTTAAAACATGGTGCCAAGAAGACCTAAGTTCTCAATTATATCTCTGTAGATTTTGTTCCCTTAGCTCAGACATCAAGGATGTCTAGGGGGCCCCGAGGGGAGTGACTGTAAATGGTATAAATTGGCACACAGGTTGCCACACTGACAAGGTAGTGCCATTGGCACCTAGCGTGGGGCCTGGTGCTAACAATCTTGTCATACAAGGGGCCATCCCACGTGGCCAAAAAAGGCAGTAACCCTCCTGTTGATGAACCTGGTCAGCTTTACTTTGACCAGTGACTATTCTCCAGCCCTGGCCAGCAGTCTGACTTTAAAAAAGAGATACAGGGGTGCCTGGGTGGCTCAATCAGTTAAGCATCAGCCTTCAACTCGGGTCATGATCCCTCTCCCTCTGCCTGCCGCTCTGTGTGCTTGTGCTCTCTCTCTGTCAAAAAATAAATCTTTTTTTAAAAAAGGGGTATAAATGGAATGCCTTTACGTGAGTATTCTTTCCAGTCTTTCAACATGACCCTTTGGGCTCTCCAGAGACTCTTGACTTGCTCCTCTGCTCTCCAGATTGTGTCCAGGGGGGCAGCTATTAGGGCAGCACAGATGAGAACAAACCCTTTTTCCTTCTTGTGCTATGTGTTTTTGGGAAAAGTCTTTAATTTTCATTACTTCTGTTTTCTCCTCTATAAAATGGAAATAGCACTAGTATCTACCTCATGGGGTTACTGTCTTGTAACCTATAGAAACTTAGAACAACACTTGGCCTTGGCACGTAGTGAGCACCCAATGGATATTTGCTGTTATTGTTCAACAATATAGAAGGCAGTGTGCTGGGCACCATGAAGGTAATAGAAAAACGAACACATCACCATCATAGCTTCTGTCTTGGAGGAGACATGCCTGTCACCCAAATGCAAGGCAGCATATGATATGTTTTTTGACAAAAATCTGACTGTAGTGATTCTTTGCTAACATGACTCCAGCTAATGTTGGAAGCCCTAATGTTCTAGAGATTCTGCTCAGAGCCTTGGATTACAGGTCTGGTGGCTTCTACTCATTAGGTTTATTCTTCAGCTTTATACTTAGTATTTGGGAGGAATTACTTCTTTTTCCAGGGGACATTCCTGGCCCTGCTTTGGTGAGATTACCTCCTACTGTGAGTTAGCTACACCCTCCAACTTGGCTGCATCCTGAGATTCCTGGGTTTCCCCCCACCACCTCGGGGCAGTGGTTCTAATCACTGTGTCGTTGCTGGTTCTTGTATTAATGTACTATTTGATCTTCTAAAGCCCAGTTTTGGACTCTATTGTCTGCTTAGGCTCATACTCAAGGCTGTAATCCTCCTGAAATTTTATAAATGTTTCATTCGATATGAAACCACTTTCAACCATTTCTGATATAAATCATATATAGACTAGGAAGAAAAGAACAATTCATTCGGTGGGATAACACAGAATGAATCAACATCCCTATAAATAACAATAATAGCAACAAAAGTATTTATCTTTTTGATATGTGAAGTCTCAACTTTTCATGATTCTAGGATGATCTTATTTTTTCCCTGGAAGCCCTAATGTTCTAGAGATTCATAAATGGTAATTAATGCTTCAGATATATAATTGATATGCCTTATATCATAACAGAACTCCAACATTAATTTATTCACAAAATCTCTACTTAGTTAATTAACAGTTTATTCATGAGACTGATTTAATTTGACTTTGTATGAAATTTTACATAGCATGCTAAAATTTTTTAAAAATCTGTAATAACTACTGCTTAATTTTATGCTCCATTAAACAATAATGTCAGTATAGAAATGTGTTAAAGTTAGAAAATTCAATAGCTTATCCTCAAGGCAGCATGTTCTATTAGAACTCCATTTTTTCCTTCCCAGACATTTATTATACATATAACAGAAATGATAAAATGGTTTCATTTGCACGAGGATATTTTTAAATAATGGGAAGAATGAATGTTAGAAAATGAGAAAGACTGCTGTCAGAGATGCTTAACATAAAACTCTGTACACCTTAAATTTCTTTAACAGCTAGAATAGTTCATTGAAAATTACAAGAATGCTAGGCCCCAAGAGTTTTTAATATTCGTCTTTAAATACAAACACCTAGAAATAAAACCTATTACCATAGAGAGCCAAATTTTTATGTTTTCTTTTTCCTTTTTAAGTTCACGTGAAGTCCAGACTTAGAGTAAATGGACAGCATGATCTTCTGACTTGGTTAATTCATGTAATCATTACTTCAGTACTCCTTAATTGAGCAAATATTATAGGTTAGATGCTATGGTAGCACAGATCAATAAGTTGTGATTCCAGTGATTTAAGACATGACAGTTCTCTTGGAATATACAGTATACTTAAGGAACTACTATAAGCAGCAATTTCGTTAATGGCAATAAGCTTTTTTTTTTTTTTGGCAATAAGCTTTTTAATCAATATTTGCTAAACACTTTACAAACCACACTTGTGTGTAATACAGAGTTTCTAGGTACCTATGATCAAAAACAAAGATACATATGGATATATATCATGTTTAACTTAGTCACATTCATTCAAAGGAATAAATCCCACAAACTGTTATTATCATTATAGGGATGATAATGTGTTTGTTGGAAGTACCTTCTATCTAATATTCAGTTATTTTGTATTATAATTTATCTCGGGTACATTATGTGATTGCATTATTATTGTTATTCTAACTGGGGATAAAAACTTGCTGAGCTATTAAATGAAATTACATGTACATGTAACCATGGTTTTCAGAACAAGCCCATACGAAGCTTTAAATAATTTTAGAGGCACATTTTATATGTAAAGACTGAAAATAATGAGTCTAGCATTAAAGGTCTTATAAATATTCAGGATGCTATGAAGAAAAGTCAGAGTTGCATAAACTTTCAGACACATTAAGTTTTTAGTATTGCCTCTTTTCCTTTAGGGGGGAGAAGAAAATAATAACTGGTCATCTCTGGAACATGTTATTATTTGATGATGCTTTAGAACTTATTAAAGCAAATGAAAATTTTTTTTAAAAAGCTATCTTAAGAGGGGCGCCTGGGTGGCTCAGTCGTTAAGCATCTGCCTTTGGCTCAGGTCATGATCTCAGCGTCCTGGGATCAAGTCCCATGTCCAGCTCCCTGCTCAGTGGGGAGTCTGCTTTTCCCTCTCCCACTCCCCCTGCTTGTGTTCCCTCTCTTGCTGTGTCTCTCTCTGTCAAATAAATAAATAAAATCTTTTTTTTAAAAACTCTCTTAAGTGTAATTTTATCTCCCATTCCATAATGAACATACACCAAGCTTTATACCTTCACCCAGTGATTTTTCAAATGACTCATGCCTTCTAAACTTCTGGGAAGATTGACAGTATAATTATTGGAACAGCTACATTGTGTGCAGATTGAGAGATTGAGAGCCGGGGCTGTGGAATGGATGGCCCACCTGTGCCACTTAAGTCTTGGGCAGGTTACTCTCTGTACTTCCATGTTCTCATCAATAAACTGAGGTAGTGGTAAAACTCATCTCAGACAATAATTACAAGGATTTATGAATTAATATAATACTTAGCACACTGTGTAGCACATGGTAAGCAAATGTTAGCTATTACAGGGTTAAGCTCCAAAGCTGAAATTTCCTTTTAAAATCAAGCCATATCATACTAGAGGAAGAAATGGCTGATAAATGCATGAGAAAATGGTTCACTTCGCTAATAATTAAGAAATATTAACATGCAGTAACTTTTTTCTAACTGGAAAAAACTGGGCACCTTTACAACATTGGGGGTGCAACCATTGTAGAAGGCAGTTTGCCCTGTCCTCATACACACAAATGTATGTCTCTGTTTATTACTTATTTTAAATAAGGAAAATGTTCTGACATGAAGTGGTGCCCATGACCTAAAGTGAAATGAAAAACACAGTTAGCCTAATAATTTGTATTTATTGCATGATTCTACTTTTGTGAGAAAATATGTGGGTTTTTTTGTGTGTGTGTTTGCAAGATATGTTTAAAGATACACAGAAAGATAAAAGGATATGAATAGTTAAAATTAGTTTATTTTGGAGAGTAGAATTGGGGTTGAGAGATAAGAGAGTGCTTGGTATGCTTCCATATTTTTTTGAATTTTGCTAAAAAAATATGTTAAAAACATTTATTGTGGGGGGAGGGGAACCTAAGCCAGAGAATCACTGGTTAGGGAATTCTAGCCCCAGAGCAGCAGTCTTTTGGGGGAGAAGAAATGGATCCCAAAGATAGTTATATCTACTTATATAGAGAGCCTTGAAACCCCTGGTTTGAAATACTTTGTAGAGTAACTAAATCCAGTTGCTGAGTTGTGGGAAAGTCTTCAGTTAAAGATGGAGGATAGATCTGGCTTCTTAGTTGGCAAGGGATCAGTACTGCCTTCTAGGGACATTTCCAAAAGCCCTAGGTCTGTGTTCACTGGCAAATACATGGAGCATAAAGGAAATTGGGGTGCTTTACAAAGAAAATCTAGGTAGCACTCAGCCCAAAAGTGTATGTATTTTGGAAGGCCACCTCTAGGTTTAAAGGCACGTTTATTGCAGTTTAAAAAACAAGCCCCTCCAGAGAGATACAACCTGCAAACACATACTCTACAGGCTTGATAGTAATTTTCAAAGTAATCTGAAAGCAAAAATTCTGCATGAACACGGTGCAAGTCCATTGAGGCATATATTTTTTTCTTTTTTAATGTCAGTATCTTGTTTGTCTTTACAGAGTTACTGGAGGTGAACTGTTTGAAGACATAGTGGCAAGAGAGTATTACAGTGAAGCCGATGCCAGGTAAGTGACTTGCCCGGGGGCAAGATACAAGACTCAACATTCAAATGACACTTGTTCAGTATATCTCTTTACAAATGTGTCATAACCCTTAGTATTTATGAGACTCTCATAATACCATCTTGGACAACTTCTCATGATGAGTCCCTCTTAATTGCTGTTTCTCTCTCTTAAGAATTTCCAGGATAATTGTTTGGGGAAAACAAAACTAGAATCTGGTCTAAACTAGCATCTCCAGTTAGTCTTTTAAAAAATAAATAATAAAATCTATACTCTACCTGGAATGACTTCTGCTAAAGAAATGTACTTTTTTAGCGAGGTTAATAGAGCAAAAATGCAGATCTTCTGGTCTCTAGATCCTGAGCTGCCCATTATGGTAGCCGTTAGTAACACATGGCTATTTTAATTTCAATTAATTACAATTAAATAAAAAATTTAGTTTCTCAGTTGTACTAGCTACATTTTGAATGCTGAGTGGCCATAAGTGGCTAGTGGCTACCAATTGGACATAGCAGATATAGAACATTTCCATCATCACAGGAAGCTTCACTGAACAACCCATGTTTAATCAGAGACCATAAAAAGAAACAGACTACAGAAGTCCCAGTGTTCTCCTTAAAGCAGTATTAGCTGTTTAACTCTTTGGGAATTCCAGGATGGCTTTTGGAACCCTCATGTGAAAAATATTTATTCGGATATTTCAGAGGGTACAGAAGGATTTCCCAACCTTGTTAATTGGCATCATCTTTACAGAGGTTAACAATGGCTATCCATTTTCTCTCATTTGAAACTTCCTAGGCTACACAAAGTCAAACTTTTTGGAGTGAAGTGACATTAATTTACTTGCCTAGATATTACTTAGACTGTATCATGTTAGTTTTCCTTGGCATTTCTTTATACATATTCAGTAGTTGGCACTCAATTTGAAAGATCTGGCCTTGAGCTATTGACTCATTATTAACAATGTAAATGAGATGTTATGAAAATTCAGTTACTTATTGTCTGGCCCCATTCTCTAATGCTTTCAGAGCTTCCTAAAGCTTGCTAATCTGCTGTAGCCTGCACTCAGCAGATAGTCAGCTGATAGCCGATTCCCTCCCCATCCCTTCAAAGTAGCACATGGACACACCGGCTCACTTGCAAATCTCTAATTAATCTTCTTGGTTTTATGCCAGTTTATGACATTCTGTGAATCTTCTCTGTACATGACTACACTCTAATTTTTTAATGGAATTTTTACTGCGAAAGTCAAATAGAAACTGATGTATCATTTATACTATCATAAGTGAATCATCACTTGCTCAGTTCACCCCAGTTCTCATGTTAGGGCCCTGAAAGGGAGCTTCAGAGCATCCTTGCTAGTAGCTCTTTGCCCACTTGCCCAGAGAGAGCAATAATTTTAATCAAGGTAGTTAACAAGTTAGGGAATTACATTTATTTTGCTTTTTAAAGTTATGTTAAACAGGTCCTTGTGTTTTAAAAGTATTGTTTGAAATTAATATAGAAACTGTTTTCACTATTGAAGAGCCCTGTAGATAACAGGGGAGACCCTATGGGTTGGATCATTTTATATGCATGTTTATATTAGGTTTTGGAATTCACTAGAAGTGAATATTTTTTAGGGTAGGTCCTACACAAAATGAAGGAGAAGGAAGTCTTTCCCTTCTAGTCCTCAAGGACTGAAGAATTGAATCCATTCTCACTAGTAAAAAATGATGAAGTTCATTTAATATGAATTATTGTACACTTTATTTTGCATTATTCATTAAGCCTAATAACTTATATCTGTGGTTTGAGAAGAGAAAGTGAAATATTTCTAAAAAGTAGTACAAAGTGAAGGGAAAAAAAGTCATAATATTTAAAAAATAATTACCAACACTCAAATAAGATGTATTGTCAAAGAGCAACCAATGTTTAGCTCTTTTAGTGGGACTCTTTATAGAGTTAGAGCTGAAAAATCATAACCTTGATTGCTTTTTTACATTCACATTGTAAGAAATCAGATGGTGATTACTTTTTATAATTCAAGAATTTACTTTGGAGTGATATTTTTTGTGCATTAAATGGTTGAAAACGTCCTTATTAAAATGTTTGTTAATGAATGTAGCTCAGTACATAACACGCATTTGAATCGCACAAATGTAAATTTGGACAAAACGTGTCAGTGTGACCTATATTATTTTATGTCAGATGACAGCTCATGGGACCTTACATGTGCCTAGTGATGATTTATCCCCTCTAATTTAATTAGCTGTCTGTTTGACATCAGCGAGCCCTTAATAAGAATAGTGTAAATTGTGCTTTTTGACATAGTGATAAGGAAAGTTTTCCTTCACTTTGGTGTATGGAAATATATCTAACAATTACCAGTGTTCCAGGGGATTTTAAAATTTATTTTTTTGTAAGGTCCTAGCCCTTCTCCAGAGTATGCCCATCCTGAAGAGGGGTTTGTTTTATGTCATGGGTTTAGTTGAAATTCTCCCTCTGTTACTGGAGACTTGCATTAGTTTCCTCTTACTATATTCTATAAGAAGCACCATTTCTAAGTTGAAATGATAAATGTGTCGCTCCATGTTTTTTAACCCTTGTTTCACCTGCCACTTCATCTGTGTTTACCCTCTTGTTTCAACACCTATGTTTAATTGTGACCTCAGATTTTAAACAGTTTAGATGTGTATGAGAAATACCCATAAATTTTATACTGCTGAAGAATTTTCCCAGAACGTTATGGGAATATTTGTGAATTTTTCTCCTCGAATATGGAAATTTTAACTTCAATATACAAGTGATTTAATTCGTACATTTTCAATGAAAAAAAAAAACACAGCTCAAATTGTTTTGTCTGAACATGTCACAAACTCTATGTTGGCTGTCATTTTTGTTAGAACCAGAATTAGCTTTATTCAGCATTATTAAATTCCAGTGTAAAGCTAAAAAAGATGTTGTGAAAAAATATAATTTTTGTTTGTTTGTTTGTTTCGTTTTAACTTTCATTTTATTTTGTATTCAATGTGATTATGTACCTTTAAAATGTTCTCCCTTCCATTCTGCCCTTGTATCTTTACAGTCATTGTATACAGCAGATTCTAGAAAGTGTAAATCATTGTCACCTAAATGGCATAGTTCACAGGGACCTGAAGGTCAGTATATGGAGTCCATAAATCTGAATCAAAGGAGGTTTTTTTTTGGTTTTATTTCTGGGGAAAGGGCAGAGGGTGGGTATTTAAAATGGTTCCCTTGCCTTTCCCAATTTTTCCCTAAAATGACTACATGATGAAATGATAATGCATGATGCCTCTTTCAGTTTGCTCATCTACAGGCTAAATATACATCATAGCAAAAAGGGAAGGACAATATTAGGAACACAACCTGTCAAGTTTCCAAGCAGTAAACTACTAGAAGCGGTTTGGGGGCAGGCTCTCCTGAAATGTCCAGCATTTGCCTGGAGATAAACTTGGCCTGTGATGTATGTCCGCCTGTAGATTTAAACACCACTTCTGTTCTGAGACCATGGGTTGCTGTAGCAAAACAACTGGTTACACATTGCTCCATTTGAGTCTGATGAACCCTCAGGCAAGAGATAATAATTGCCAGCTAAATTAAAGCACAAGAAGTTAATGATTTATCAAAAATTCATTACGTATCCTAATTTAACCTTAATGGTGCCTTGACTACTAATGTGACAGCTTTGGAATGATACTAGAAAAATGGGAGGGAATAGGGAAACAGTTTTTTTATGTGGGGTGGAGGTGGACCACAACAGCTATAAAAATTTTATTTGCATTCCAGTTCTTTTCCTATAAGAATTTATAACTAGGAAATGAGCTCCTGAATTAAATATTTTTAAGATGGTTTTTTTTCTAGATCAAGTGGATCCACATTTGCGCTAACATCTGGCAAGATCCTGATTGCTTTGAGGTAGTAGTCACTCTACTTGAGCAATATGTTTACATTACTGAAGGTGGTAAAACCCAACCCCAGTTGTCTGCTGGTTTTGCACTTTAACCCAGTCTCTGTGAGGGTGTACAGACAGTGAGTGTAAGCTTGGAACTAACACACGCCCCCTGGTGTTTGCATGCAGTCATTGCATTCAGCAGATCCTGGAGGCTGTGCTACACTGCCATCAGATGGGCGTAGTCCATCGGGACCTGAAGGTGAGTAATGCCGTTGGAGAAGATAAACCACCACATAATTCCTAATGACTGTTCAGCTGCAGTTATGCCTGTAAAGGCAAAAATATGAGCAAGAAAATTGTGTGGACTCATTCCAACACATAACGAAAACACTTTCCCTCACCACATCTCTCTTATTTCGTCTCCTCTCCTCCACACTTGAGATTTACATAAATCCCATTTCATCCAGAGGAATAATGTCCTACCATTAACAATAAATAGGCTGCTATATTTCCTTCCTCCTAAGAATACATAGCATTTATATATAATTTTGCGTAGGACTGATGATCTCTTCTTCATTCTGAACCTGTTCTGTGGACATTGATCCAACCTACCTATTTTAGAGTCATACTGTGTATACCTAATATTATGTAAATAGTTATGAAAATTATAAAGAGAATAAAGATAAAGTTATTAAGTAGGTTTTTGGCGTTAAAAACCTCCATTTGGGGCTCTGAAGTCTGTTTCCCTTAACAGTAGTCCCAGGAATTCCGATGACATTGAGGCTTCCTGGTTCTTTGTTTATTTACATTCCTAGGTAGCAAGATACTAGTGCCTTTTAAAACAGAAAGGAAAAAAGTAAAACAAATGTTATTATAAAATAATGTTTATATAACATATATATGGACTAATACTTTTAAGACTCCACTCAGTTTCTGATTCCACTGAGGATGAGAAATGTTTAGATCATTTAGAAATTAAATAGTTCAGAAGGAGACTACTCTTTCAGTCATTTTTCTGTCCTCTTCTCTCAGCAGTCTAGTTTCACTCATGGAATTTCAGAGATACAGGGAAGGCCTAGAAATTTAAATGAAACCACTGGGTGGGCAAAATAGCAAATGTGAGTACTGTATAGTTGTCATTCTTTGTTTCAAGCCTCACCCATATACAGGCATTGGTACAGAGATGCCACAGAGGTGGCGATGTCTTCAACTGTGTGTGTTCACTGGGAAGACCTGGGCTGGTTTCTCATGTGCAGACTTCTCTAGTAATGACAAATCTGTACTTTCCCTTCATTTAGTATGCTCTAGAAGAATGTATCGCTAAGGATCCACAACAACTTACTTGAAGATGTGGTGTGTAAGCAAAGCATTGCCTTAGGTTTCTGGAATTTTCCTTTGATTTCAGTTTGAGTCTTAGAGCTTTAAATGTCAAAAGCAAAGGTACGGTTAGTGGCATTTTTTTTTCTTTGGAGAGCTGAGATAAGACTGTGTACATCTGCTAACACTTTACCAAATGTACCCATCAGGATGAAGGAAAAACAATATGTTCCTTTAAAAATTCTTATCTTTGGCAACCACCTCAAGAATTCCTTACCAGCCATGTAGAGAGAGAGCCCCTTTTTGTTACTTCTCAGAGCTCACAGTACTACTTTCCTTTTTAAGTGAATATATATAGGCATGCATATTTATTTATGCTATTTTATTACATGCTCTATTTAATAAATTTATCATTTAAAATATTTTACTCCATGTTATATAATTATAAGTATACTCTGAAAACCAAGGATGAAAAATGACCTTTAAAATATATCTTGTGGGGTCGTGCTATTAGACTTCTGTAAGTGTTCATACTCAGCTGAGCTCTTCAAAGACTGGAACTTAAATCAGCGATGGCAGTGGGCCTAGGATGTGGGCTGAGAAGAAAATCTATTTTCTGACATATGAGCTAAATTGACTAATTAAAAACTCAGGCAGGTGACTTTTAGGGAGGCTAACTACCAAAAGAAATAACCTGCTGACTCATCCATCAGATTTCTTTCAAGGGATGAAAGTGTTTTTGTTCCCCCTTCTTATTCTGATTCTGATATCTGAGAGGATAGGGGTGAACTTTGCATAGAGCTTGTTATAATTTTTGTAATTCTCTTGGTTTCTGTCAAATTGCTGACTGGAACAGATTTCAATTGAGTCTAGTTTTCGGTGCATGTTTCAGTAGGCCATTTCATAACATACTTAGAGTATATTAGAGGCATTTTACACACACCCTACATGTGCTAAATCCCTGGCTTTGTTTTATGTCTTTTATACCCACATGTATACTTTATCTGATAAGTATACTGTTTGTAATGGCATATTTGCCAGTATATTAAAATGAAAAATATTGGTAAAATTTCTTATTACCAAGCTTTAAACAAAAATTTGCCATTATTATTCTTAGGTCATATATTTTGTTTCCATATCCTGATTCATATGTTAATTCATACATAATACAAATGTTTGATGCACATTTTAATTTGTCCATATCACTGAGACAAAACCACAGGAAGTGTTATGTTCTTCATTATTAAAGGCACCTATAAGCATAGGAGTGCTGTACATTTTGTTGTAAGCCTCTTCTAGAACAATAGCTGTATTACCTTACTGTACCTACCTATAATACTATATTACTCCACAGTGCCTAATTTAGGACTTTATACTTAGTAAATACTTGTGGCATATGCTTTCAATTTTGGAATGAATGAAATTCAATCAAAAGCACATTTATAATATAAAGGGCATCACTGAATAAAATAGATTTTTGTGTATGTTAATACTGAATAAAGAGGATAAGTATCACTCTTTGATACAGTGATAATATTAAGATCATAATTTGAATAACTGCCACTCTTGGGAGCTTATTAGACAGTGGAATCCACCAGATGGAAAATTATAAGAACCTAGAGACAAGGCTGAGGCACAGCAGACAATTTGGAGGATGTCCCAGAAAAGCAATAGGAGAAGGCTCCGTGTGGTGGGATATTAGCATAAAGGAAGCATATCAATCACAACCAGGCAGTATCCAGTGGATACACAGACCTTTTGTCTGAGGTGAATCCAGTGTCAGATCCAAGCAGTATTAAGGAGTATCTAGCGGTGGTGACATAATTATAGTACTATAGTTCAGGAATATGACTCTCGTCTTTGGGAGGATTTGGATCAAGGCGGGACATTAGTAATAAAAATGACAATAGCTGCCATTTATCAGGCAGTTACCATGTACCCTTTGTACTGTGTTATCACAGCTTAACAACAGCTTTATGAGGAAGGCACTTTGATCTTCCCCACGTTGCATAAGGAGAGATTTAGCAACCATGAGTGAAAGAACTTGTTCATGGTTGCTCAACTAGTAAGTTATGATTTGTGCCCAAGCATTTTTGTTCCAGAGTCTGCATACTTGATTGCTACCACTTTTCAATTCATTAGTTGGATAAATCGAAAACTTTAGAAAGGCCAAAAAATAGGTCAAACAATGATGAGAAAGTAATTTTGCCAGCAACATTAAGAATTGGGAAATGGTTCTAAGTTTAGTGAATCAAATGATTAAAATGATCCTGCTTATGGATCTTCCAGAGCTGTACAAAATCTGTATCATTAGGAATAAGAGAATAAGTTTAAGTTATGTTTAAGATACAGTATGGAGTTGAGGGGGTGCACAACATAATTTGTTAATAGATGTTCAAAGAAAAAAATTCTTATTTAGCAAATCAGTAAAGTGGCATTGGTCACAGCCTTTGGAAAATGAGACGTAGAGAAGAATGAAATGCATTTGCCACATTTGACTTGGGCCACATCAAGACAATCAGTCTGGAGTGCCTAAAAATAGATTGTTTATAAAGAGTAGATTACTGTAACTTAGTGTTGAGTGTTTGTGAGCTGATAATTGAAAATTCAGATATAAAAAGAGAGAAACAAACATCAAACATTTCTTGAGCACCTATTGAGGCTCTATCAGAGCTGTGGGCACAAATTACAGAGCAAAATAAGAACAAACCTTGTGTGGCTAGAACCTACAGGCCACTGAATTAAAGATCATTTTAAAATATGTATCAATGCTGTTCCTCCCAGAAAAAAGGAAATACGTCAGACGAAAACTGAATCCGGAAAAATATTAGGTTAAAGAGCGGTGGCAGTAACAAGTGACAACTCTTGAGGTCACAAGAAGTAGAAGGATGTGTTCTCCATTTAACAGCCTGAAGGATACAGTTTCTGTGAATCAGGGAACAGAAGTAAGTCAAAGGAGACAGTTTTATAGCTCTGCTTTATCATATATTTCACACAAAATAGTAAGATGTCTTCAGTTCAAGGTGCATTAGAAATGGTTACCAAACTACTTCATGAACAGCATCTGGATAGAAAGCTACATAAAACAATCTTTTAGCAACACATCAACACCTGTGAATCGCCTCAGCAGAGAATGCTGCTTTTTTTCCCTTAGACTACCTCCTGAAAAACAATGTCATTAAATGGAAAAATCATTAGATCAATGGATGGATATGAGAGAGAGGGAGGAAGAGAGGAAAGGGAGGGAAGGGGCAGAGAGAGAGAGAGAATAAATTTTAATGAAAATAATAATTTTGGAGATGGGGGGTTAAATTTAAATATAGGAATAAAATTAAAGACCAGAAAAGAGAAATTAATTTTCTGGGGGAATATGACATGCGTTCAGTAAATCCTCTTTAGTAGTAGATTTATCAAATTGTGAATCTACATTTTGAATAATTATAAAATTGCAATTGTTCCACTTTTCTCAGAAGTATACTCAGATGAAAGTTTGAAAAACTTGTCATTTGTGTATAAAGTATGTCTAGGTGTTTTAGACACAAACTCAGTAAGTGATAAATTCCATAATCCATTGGTCATTCTTGTGTTTCTTTCTTGAACCCGACAGCTGTGTGTCAGGCCATGGAGAAACAGTAGGTAATTGGCACAGTCCTGCTGTGGTTGCACTCTGCTCTGCTTCTTTCAGAGAAGTATTTGCTAACAGTGTAGAAGTATGTGCTGATAGTATGTGTTAATAATGTAGAAGTAAATAAGAAAACAGGAATGGAAAACAGATCATTCTTATGAATTTGCTCATGTATGCATGGTGATGGAAATAGTACTTCGTAATCACAGAACAGTGCATCAGCTGAGAACTCCCTCTGCTGAGTACATAAATTCAAGCATCCATTCCATATAAAAATAAAAGCAATAGTCACTTGTACCATGTGCACAAAAGAACTTCTGCCATGTGCATGAGTGAGCTTGATATTCAAGCTTTTCAGTTCATGCACTTTCACTTAGTTTATCTCTAGGAGCTTTGTTCTCACCTTCTTTGGCAAAGGAAAAGTGACTGAAAACACACCAAAGCACAGAATGCTTAACTTCATGTTGAAATAACTAATACTATCCAGTAGAGGAAGGAAATCCAAAAAGACAATTTCAATTCTTAAAAACTAATATCTAAAGAAATGAAAGAATTAAGTAATATAGAATGATAAAACTAACTGGCTGTTACATGATATTCATAAAGAAAAAAGCTGTAAAAAAAAAAGTAAAACACATGTTTTCACTACACATAAAAATTCCTAATGTTTGAGTTTTGTTGGCTAGATAATCACATATGTGCACAGATATGACTAATGCTGAAGACGATCATCACCTTTGCCCAGTCAGTTCCTTAATAAAGATCACACTAATTTAGAAATTCTTGTGATGTGTTTATGAGATTTTTGAGAAGCAAGATTGAAACTATGGCTCATATTTCATAAGTTTTCCCCCGGGTTTTATTTGGATATGGGTAGGAAATATTTTTGAATACTTCAGATTCTTTTGCAACTGTCTACTGAGTGGACTGTCTTTTGCAAATGACCCATTTTTATACCATCGGAGGAGTTTCCTCAGTATCACATCTTTAAAAGAAGAAATCAGGAATCTGGCTTCAAACCCTCCCATCTTTTTTGGATCTCCCTACCTCATTTAGAGACTGAGGGGTTTGAGTTATTTTATCTCCCAAGTCAGTCCCAGTCTTAAAAGTGATCCCAGCAACCTGCCTAGGTACTTTGAGATATTTGAACAGATTCAAGAAAATCTCAAATCACATTGAAAGAAGTTGCCATTGCATCCATATGGAAGCACAGAACTAAACTTGCCAACAGTTGCTGCTCATTACAGCTGATATGCTATAAATGGTTGTTGACACTAAGACCAGATGTCATGGAAAATCCTGCATCATTAGGAAGCAGTTGGGTGGGGAAGGAACCTGTGTGTGAGAATGTCAGTAGAATCTATTTAAAAACCAACCTAAAAAGTGATTGCATTATAGGAATTTAGAGATAATCTCAATATATAAAGATTAGCTTAATAGATTGCATTAGATTTAGGAATGTGGACATCCCCCAAGTTACGCACATTCATTGCAAATATCCAATGTCCTGCACGTTGACATGGCCAGCTGTACTGGAGTGTAATAGCTAATCACTAATGTGTATATTGTTCCATACAGAGGACAGGCTCTTGTGATAAAATCCAATGAGATTTTATAACTTCATGTATAGTGTTATGAGAAATATGCTTATAATGTTCATTTGAGAGATGGAAGAACTAATTAGCTCCAAGAGTCTGAGTTGCCCATGTCCACACAGTTAAGAACAGTCAGTCCCAGGACATAGACCTAGCTCTTCATCTTTTTTCTAGATCATCATGTTGCCCATTTCTCTCATGTTCAACTATACACTGGAAGACCTGTGTTTCTGATTTCACCTTTCTCATTTGCTTTAGAAAATCAAAATCGTTGAATAGTAGCAGGTAATGGTGGTGATCCTTTTAAGGAAGCAGCCACTAATTAGCTGAAAGATTCTACCATTTTGGCTTTTGTGAAATATAATCACACATTATCCTCCTTTCTGTAGGTGTTCAGAATTTGGACTAACCTACTTGCCAGTGAACTTTTGTGTTACAACACACATTCAAGTTGGATGCTATATAAATGGTAGAACATGATTACAGGATTATTCAAATTTTGAATATATTCCAAACAGTTGTATATAAATCAAATTTGTGTGCTATTTCTAATGTTTCATTGAAGCTGGCCATTAGAAGCAATCTTGTGATGAAATGTTTTATAAAGAAAAGACTTCTTTAATAAGGGCAGTAAGCATCCTGATTTTTCAGTTTGCATTCCATAATTCTATATTTTAGATTTGCTTAAAAGATATGTACAAACACGAAGCCATTTTAGTTCTATTAATTCTTAAATCTACACAGTAACCTTGAAAGAGCCCTGCCTTTTCCTGTGCATAACTGCAGCTGAACAGTCTTCGTGGGTATAAGGTAAAACACTTATCCAGATGGATTAATTATTTCCCTGGATGACTCACAAGGCCCTATAGAGAGGTCTTCTAGGTCATCTCTAAGTATGAATATTTGCCCCAGTCATTCAGAGGCCATGTATGATAAAACTCTAAGGTGTTCCATTTCTTCTGAATTGGCAGACACTTGGTATTTAAGGGCGTAATGCACACAGCACTGCCCAGAACCTTTTTTGATCTAGTGATAAATATTTTAAAAGTTTATTTACTGATGGCACTGGCACTTGCTCAACAAACTTCAGTACTGCTTGATTAAAAGACCTAAAATGACGTGATTTCTAAAGTAATTGGAACTCTTTCTTTGAATGAGTCTGTGGTTGACAAATTAGGACAGATGTGTATTAGCAGAGATCTCTGACATCTCAGTGCTTTTGAATGTGAAGGTTATAAAGAAACTATTGCTTACAGTTTGATGTGGTTTTTCCAAGTCATTTAATAAATTAATAGCTGGAAATCACTTTTTGATTAAATTAGAAAATGCATGAATGTAGTAGGCCATAAATTTTAGTTGTGAAAATAAAATGTCAAATATTAATAATATAATATGGTTAGATACTGTACTACATTAATAGATAACCAGAGTTCCAAGTAATTGTGGATGTTAGCTTTTTACTAAAGGTTATTTCAGCATGGAGATCTTTCATATTCTTGAGACCTCTTCATCCCAGTGTCCAAACTAAATTATCATGTATTTAGTGTTGAGGTAATTTTAAAAGCCCTATCAGCCCTAAGAAATTACAGTTTTCCTTACAGTTACCTATTGTCATAATAGTGATGAATCTGATGGCAGTGAACAGCAATAGCCTGAAGAAGTCTGGTACTTGATTAAAACTTACTTGCCTACACTCCTACTTCTTATAGACTTAACCTAATTTTTTCAATTTCTGGTTATGAGTCTTTGCTAATTTGCATGGCTGGCTTAATTAATAAATTAAATATTGGTTTAGGCTGTGTTTATACAAGCTCAAAACAATCAACAGAATTGCCTAATTCAGTAAGAAAAAAGTAGCCATTTCATGAAAAAAAATATTGAATTAGTTTGCCAACACATAAACAGAACCAATTTGAATAACCTGAATATTTAGATTTCCAGACAATTGTTTTGGCACTTGTAGACTCCATTGTTTCCCAACTTCTTTCAGTCCGAGGCACACCTCTAAATTTGCTGGGTTTTAGTCCAAGGTAAGAAGATGTTGAACTACTCGCCCAAATGTGTATGTACCAATCCAACTGTATGTTCATCCAGATACCTGGGGATGATAGACTTCAGTGTATGTATTAATCAGCCTCCTTTTCCTGACCGTCTTCTCCCTTCATTTCCTAAAATCCACAAAGGTGGTCGGGGAAATTAAAGACTTTGCCCTCGTGCCTGTTTTCAAAGTTGCAGTGTGTCTCGATGCCCTGGTTGGGAAACAGTGGTATAAACACAGCCTTATTCCAAGACCAAGTTATCAGTCCTTGAATAATGATAAATACCCAAGAAAATGAAAATGTATCTTTGTTATAGTATTCCAAGATGTGAGAACAAATATATAAGGAATGCTTTGAATCACACTTTGTAGACATATAAATTATGTTTTAAAAAACTGGCTTATAAAGAAAAAAAAAAGCTAACTATAACATTTGGCAAATAGTACACTCTTTCTGCCTTTAAGAATAAACAGATTCTTAAAGACAGCAATTTAATACGTAATTCAGAATAAGACTCCAAAATTTGTACAGAAATTGTTTGGAAACATTGAGGAATCAAAATGACTACATTTGGGTCCAAACTCTTGAAGTCAACTAGGATTTAATTTGCACAGTTTCATTTGCCAAATGTCTGTAGATTGGTCCAACTCTTGTTATCATTTTGCCAAGTTTCCTTCTGCTGAAAATGTCTGTGCTCTATTAGGCTTCTAAGTCAATGTCCATGGCCAAGTCTGGACCTCAGCAGCCCTTGGAAGCATGTGAGCAGGTCAAGACAGGTGCTTCCGTTCATTTGATCTCTCCCCAAGTGTATTCTCTCTTCCTCCCCGTATCTCTCTAGTACATTTATGCATCTGTCTGAAGCCTGCACACATGATAATTTTTAATCATTTTTCTAACCATATTTTCCCTGGGATTTAGGAATGACAGTCTCCGCGAAAGAGGACAGTGCATGACTTTTTTTCCCCCTAATCTTACAAAATGTTGTTAGTTTTGAATAGTCACTTAAAATAGGTTCTCACTTCATTCTCTTTTTTTCTTTCTAAATAAAGCCTGAGAATTTGCTTTTAGCTAGCAAATCCAAGGGAGCAGCTGTGAAACTGGCAGACTTTGGCTTAGCCATAGAAGTTCAAGGAGACCAGCAGGCGTGGTTTGGTGAGTAGGGCTTCTTTCTACTTCATGCTGCTCATTCTCTTCTGGCTCATCATAACCCGCTTCCCAGCCAAAATAAGACAGAAATGTTACTTCTAACAACAGCCTGACTAAACTGAAGACATTAGACCTTTGAAGCATTTAATTTTACTGACATTAAAAGGTATATACTCTAAAAATAATTTAAGAGAAAATATTAATAGGAGAGAAGTAACATGTAGACTTTTTCTTAAAACATGAGTGAGAAAATGGATCCTGTACTAAGAATTAATAGGGAGGGTTGCGTTGTTAAAAGAGGACTTCTTAAGAGAAAATGACTGTTCACATAGAACCTTACTTGATGCCAAAAACTGCTGTGTAAATAGTAGGGACTCAGGAAATACAGAATATTTCCACATAATTTGTAGCTAACAAATTAAAGTTTAAAAATATTATAGCATATATATGTGTGTGTGTTCATCTTAATTATCTTCTGTTTCTTCACACTGCCAGTTTCCACTCTAAAATTTTGATAATTTTGGGATGCCTGGGTGGCTCAGTCGGTTAAGCGGCTGCCTTCGGCCCAGGTCATGATCCCAGGGTCCTGGGATCGAGTCCCACATCGGGCTCCTTGCTCAGCAGGGA